CTCCCAGTTACTTGCAGCAGCTCTGCTTTCAGTTCTGGCCCATGGGACCATGCACACAGCGGCTCCAGCCCCAGCCTGGTAGCCGCCAACACTAGCCCCTGGCCCAAGTTGGGATCAGACACAGAGCAGCTCCCCTTCGGCTGGTGTAGTCTCTCCTGCGTGCCACACTCTACATGCCACCCTTCCCACCCCCACATAATCCCCCCTAGAGCTGCACATCATGTGGTCTCCTCCTTGCTTCCTCTCCCCCCCCCCACACTACAGTCTTGCCCCACCACATGCCCCACTCCACCCACTGCATGAGCCACCCCAGCCAGACAGCCCCTTCAAGGCCTTGTATTTGAATCCAAGATGATCCCACTTCCTCCCCCGCAACGAGGGGAACAACATTTCATCTTGGATTTGAGTAAATAAGGTAGAATCGCTTCAGTAGTATTTACTATTCACATTTCCTAATATATTTTCCTCTTTATACTCTTTGCAGTTACACTGCAACTTCACAGGGAATAAAGACAAAGCCATTTCTACCGTTGCTACATTGAAAAATATAGCAAACTAAATTGTTTGCTAAGCCCTTCACATTCAGTAAAAACATCTGAGAATATCCTCGATTCCCACTGATTTCTTTTTGCCTTTACTTATTTCTAACATGCTAATCACCATCATGAAATAATGTTGTTATAACTGTGAAGGTGCAGGAATATGAGAGTAGCAAGGTTTGGGAGGTGAGGCATCTTTTCCTTGACCATTTATATAGCTGGGAGATAGAATAAACTCTAAATCTGAAAGTGCCCTTCAGGTCACACTGTCCAGCAATTTCAAGTTTCTGTGTTAAACTAAAGCATTAACCACTACCACTTTTCCTTTGAGGTTTAAGAATTCCTGGTGTTTTAACATGCAGCTCACATATATGTATAAGGAAAAAATAATCCCATCGTGAATCTCAGTGACCAGACAAGCTCTGCTGAGTTGCTTATTAGAATATATAACTCTAGTTACTATTGTACAGTTTTATCTAAAGCAGATAAGAAATACAAATATATTTTACTCAAACAGAAAGAAAATTAAACTGCTGCATTCAAGCAACAACATAAAAAGAAAAGCAGCACAAGAAGGAAAAACAGTGAAATAGAATAAATCCCTTTGTTTTAGTAGCATAGGAAAGCATTGTGCTCAGATTTCAAATGGTTTCTTTCTGAGCATTAACGCTCTAGAAAGGATGAAATTACTATTTCCATGACTGACTGAAGACTAATTATTAACTGTATACTATAGGTATATAGTTCTGTGACGCACTAGGGTAAGATTTATTAAAATACCCTAGCATATATAGATATTTAAAAATGAACTGAACTAAAAGCAAAGGGATTTAATAAGCACCACAGCACAAATAGTGGCAGGAAGGGCAGCACTCACAGAAGATGAGCAGGGATTGGCCACTTTTGGACTGCACGGCGGAGAGTAAGTCATCTTCACGAGAACTGGCATCTCATCATCTGATACAGAGTTGGCAGGCTTGTCTTTGACTGTGGTGCTGTTGGTAGTGGGCTGCGTGCTGGGCTCAGGCGACAGAAGCTTTACAGGGACAGAAACAGGCATGACGATGGGCGCGAGGCTATCCACCTCTTTAGGCGGTTGCTGCTGTAGTGGTTTCTCGCTTTCCTCCTGCACAGACAATTAAAGGCTTTCAGCCTCAGTCAAATAGGGGTCTGCCAGATTTACTGACTACAGGAGAAGGATGGAAGTGTTTGCTGTGCCCTGGAATAAAGCAGACCTGATGCGAACAAACCATGGCACTGCTTGCCAGGTCACATGTCTTTCCTGACTATTATCAGCTAAAGAATTATGAGTTTACACAAAATTGGGCCTCAGATATGAACACTCGTATAACACTTTTTAAAGATGATCTTCAAAGGGGCAAATTAGCCATGTGCCCTTTTTATTGCCTCTCTGTGATGTACCAAGGAGGTAAAAACTGTTTTCCTCCAATACATATATAGAGAGATCTCTCTCTCATTAAAATATATATAATTATATATATATTAGTTCCCTATTCAGATCTTATGTAATTTGGGAGACTATGGAAATCTAAAGAACTAGAAGGATTATTCCATCAGCAATACTAAGAGAATACAACCACCTGATTAAGAGGAAAGTTACTTTTTATTCAGAGCAACTAATATTCAAGGTTGGTTTGCCTTTCGTTATACCTGCATAACTAAAAAACATTTGGGCAAAAATGTGCCAAAAATTCAACACTCCTGTTTATTCAGTTAAGGCCTGGAATGTTTACAATATACACGTATTAAGTTATCCAACTGGTACAATGGAAAATAAGACCTGACATTCTGATATTTCTAATGCAGCTAATAGTTTAAAAAACTCGAACTAGCAGGGCTTTTTGTACATTAGAACTAAAAAATGGCGTAAACATGTTCTCTTCTTTTCCGGTCACCTTTAAACAAGGAGGGATTTTTGGCCTATATATAACCATAACTATATATACTTCTACTGCTGTAGACTAAAAAAAATTAAGAAAATGGGGCAAACCCACTCTTCTGACAGCAAAGCAAAGCAAGCGGCAAACATCAACATGAAAGAAATGGAGAGGAAAATACTGAAGTGTAACAAACTCCTACCTGTTTAAAGCTCGGAGATGCTCTTACTCCCCCATGTGACCTCATATGACCATTTAGGGCTGGTAAACTCTTAAATTCCTTCAAGCATATTGAACATGTTAGCTTGTTCTTTGTATTGGCTTTCTCAGGAAACAATGCTCTGTTCTGGTCACTATTTTTGAAAAAGGTGGCAAAAAGGATAAAATCAGTTTCCCAGGCATCGGGCATGTTTCATTACACATAGCGTCTTTAATCTGAGAATTTCAAAACTATTTACTAGTGTAATGCAATTACAATAGATCAGTAGTTCTCAATCTTTTTCATCTTAGAGGCACCCTTAGACTCAAGGGCACCCCTTGGAAAATGCCAGATCTCAGCTTTCACAGATTGCTTAATTACGGAAGAATATTAAGAGCAATTATTTGGATGCAAAGAACTCTCAGAAAGACCACAACAGATCAAAAATATTTTTGACACCATGGGTTCCTAATTAATCTGTCTGGGTTTGTCTTGTGAATCATGTGCAGGTGTTTGTACACGGAACGGTGCTAATATTGCGTGGCACCCTGCAAAATCCTTAAAAAGATCTCAGGACACCCCGGGGCTACAGTACCTTGGTTCAGAGCCACTGTAAAAGATCATAAAGCTCTTCTATCAGGAGATAATTATAGTACCCAGGATATGTATTCAAATACATGCAGGCTCAAAAATCGATCTGAGCAAGTTCCAAACTCGATGGAAGAACAGGTGGCAAACAGGACCCAGAATCTATTTTTAATATATGGCCCACTATATGGAAAAGCCTGAGAGTCCCTGGCCTAGGACAAGAAATATGTTTCTTTAAGACCCATGTTTCCCCACCTGTGCTAGCACTAAAAAAGCATTACAACATGGGTGCCCCTAAATGTGGCAAACAAGTTTGGTGGAAGATGGATCTTGCCATGGTACAGATAGACCTTGAGAAGAAAAAAAAAAAAACTAACCCCCCCCCCCCGGATTCTGAACATTTTTTTCCTGCCACGGTTGGAAATCTAAACACGCTATTCATCCCCTGCATATGTGACAACTCCCTTGCTTTCACTCATTTTTTTTAAATACAGTGCTCCAAAATAAATTAATTTTGTTGCCATAAACTGCACAATTTTACATCCACAGTGCATAACACTTCCATGGTATCACAGAATAGTTTCCAGGACCAACAGCCCTTATTTTATTTGCCAAACTAATTTATCTTTAACCATAAAACAACTTCCCCAACTAACAACTCTATACCAAACTCATGATACCTTTGCTCAGGGGACAGCGGTTGCAGTCTGCCATCTGATAGCTGCATCTGCTATCACAGGGGAAAAAAGAAACGAAAAATATTGTTCAAGTTATACTAACGTACAGAAGAATTTTCACAGATTATTACTATTATCATTATTAACAAATTTACATTTTTCATCTGAATTTGGTGAAGGCCCTGACCTGATACTCCTAAAGAATGTAATTCTACATCTACCCAGAAAATGGATATATATGCCTTTGAGCACTGCTAGTGCCAGCTTCCATACACAAACCTGCTAACATACCACTGAGTTCTGATCTAAAGGGATAACTGTTTGGTGCCTGGGGGTAGTTGGGTCTTCACATCCATTCAATCCCTGGAATTTTTAAGGAGGTTGCCAGGAAGATGGAAAATTCACGCCAAAGGTGGCAGCATTTTTTCTGTAGTGGGAGTACATGTCCACTAGAAACTGGACCAAAATTGCTGATTTGTTTTTAATTATTATTATTATTATTATTGAGGTCACAGACACCTGTCACTAACAACCCAGCCTAGAGCCAAATCAAATCAAGGCAAGAGAGATTTCAGGAATTTCTTGAAACAAACCACTATGCTTGTGCCCTAGCCATCAAATCTCCTGTTACTATTTTGCTTGTGTACAGTGATTTTCCAGAACAGAGCCCCGTGAATAGAAATCTAAAACATTACGTACCGGAGGCCAAATGGCAGTGGGAGACTCTTGCGGAGCCCCTTTGCTATTTAGATGGCCACCTGATGGTGGTAACAGAGTTCGATGAGGAAGAGTATTACTGACTGAATTAATTTCCTGCTCTGTGGGATCCTCCATTGCCTCTGATGCCGAGAGGCTAATATGGGAGTTCATCAGAGCTTGAGACCTGTTGTCATTTTGATACTGCTTTTCCTGACTCGTGTCGTCTTCTTGTTGCTGCTCCTGTTGTTGTAGTAAGGTCTGCGAATACAAATGCCTATACTGCTGCTGTGGATCTTGGTAGCAATACTGAGGCACTGCTCCCAACTGTATAAGCTGTACAGGATGAGACTGATCCTGGGAATACTGGTGCGCTTCATGCAGAGTCTTTGGGTCAGGATCCCTGTGATAAGGCAGCTGTAAGTCCATCTGCTGCTGTGGCTGCAACTGCTGCATAGCAGGTTGTGTTTGATAATACTGTGCTATTTGCATTGGACACTGCCTCTGCTGCATTTCTTGTATTGAAAACCGCTGCTGTCCCTGCTGTGGCTGCTGCTGCAGGTAATATTGGCTCTGCTGTAAATGCTGTAAATGTTGTGGTAACAGCTGCTGAGACTGCAATTGTTGCACGTGTGGCTGGCCTGGCTGAACTGCAGAATGCATCTGCATTTGGGAGAGGTGTTGCTGGTAGTCATAATACAACTGTTGTGGGTGCTGCATGACTTGCATTTGTTGCTTTTGCTGTGGGCTTGCAAAACTCTGATGTACTTGCTGTGGCACTTGTTGGTATCTTTGCACAGTGGAAGTTGCAGGCTGCTGCTCAATGCTAGACTTTTGAGACAGCAGTTGTCTCAATGCGCTGTCATTGACATTATCCATCACTGAAGACTGAGCGTGCAAGACCTGAGTCATGTTGTTGACTTGAATTCTTAAGTTTTGGTTAGCAAATACTTGCGTAAAGGAGTCTAGTTTATGTAAAACCCCACTCGTGATTTTCTGTGATCGAACTTCATTAGCTGGAGAGTACGGATATTGGTATCCATCAGCTGATTCACCCTGCCCTAGAGGGCTCCACATTGCATTCTGACTGTTTAGATTGTTCCTTACTGCAACATGGTTTCCTGAGCCAGAATGTGTCCAACTGGTTGGTCGGGATGAATCCAATGACCCAACGCTTTTTGAACCTACAGTCAAAGCTATACTGTCCCTTGAATCCTGGGGATACTGTGGAGAGAGGGGGGAAGCCTGAGAAGCATCCATGATTGATGTTCCGTAGCTGTGGTTTAAAGCAGGGACAGAGTTTACCTGGTGGTGTTGATAGTACAAGTTATCATTGCTGTTGGCAGTGTGGTTAGTTTTGTACAACTGCTGGTCCCCCATTTTGGTTACATTTGTCCTGACCTTACAGGTATGAAAACCATTAAAACCGCTTTAAACCCTGAGATGTTCTAAGAAAAAAAAAAAATCACTAGAACTACTTATTATTCCGCTTGTCCATTTACATTACAAAGACTAAATTCTCTCCAGTCTGTTTGTAATTCCAATTTCAGATTGATGTTGCTTCACATCTTCATAAAAGGACCAAAGCACAAGTCTTAAACAGAACAATAGATTCAGTATGCCAGACACCTAAGGAGGAACAGAAAATAAGGTGAGTGACTGCTTTCTACATAACCTTTAGCATATCCTTTGATGCAATAACAAGTCTTGCAGTGTGAAAGACAATCACATGCAAAGTTGCAGCCGTTGGGCTCTCCATAGCAGTTTGAGTGTTTCATCTCTTTCAATTATCCTGTTTTTACAGTTTCCTGATTTTGCTTAAAAACAAACAAACAAACAAACAAAATGTTGTACTTGGTTTTAGCTGGCCAAATACAATGCTCACAAGTACAGGCATGACTCAGAAGTTAAATATTCTGGTTAAATCTCACTTCTAGTGTTCCCAACTCTGTTCTCCAGAAACAATTGATAACCCTGAACTCTCAAACAAGTGCATATCACAGATGCCTCCAGGAGGTCTCATAAGGCAAGACAGGACAATGTGCTTCCACAGAGTACGTATGGGAAGATGCGATGTGGGGTAAAGTACACACAAATAAAGTAGAGTTTAATTCTGATTCAAATTAACAAAAAAAACACAGTCTCCAAATGCATCAGACAAGCATCAGGGCAATTTTACTTCATGTTATTTTCAGGGAGATGTGGAACGAAGAACTGCAAATCTGCTCAAGGGATGAAGGCCCAACATTATATCAGTGACAAATAATATACAAGACTAATGCTTGTTAATACAACAGTAAATCCAAAAGTGACTAGTAACCATGCCCATAATTGGGGATTCAAGTATTCATCTTCCGTATGAAGTTTCAGTAATTACCAAGACAAATTAAAAACTGTCCAAAATTATTTTTTTCCAAATGCTCAAGGGGTAACAGAAATTCTGATTTCTGTGCCAGTAGCTGCAAATAAATATCAAATAAAGGTTATAGCAGCTGCAGGCACCTAACTGTTAGGGCTGTGCGAAGCTTCTGTCCTGAATTCGATTCAGCCCAATTTGGTGACTGAATCTCTGAATCCAAATCAAATCAGGAGACCCTTTAATCTCTTCAAATCGAATTGAAGCCCTCCGAACTGATTTGGAAAGATTTGGAGACTCAGACAGACACAGATATAAGTGTTTTTCCTACGTACCTCAAGGTACTGGGGTGGCTCATGAACAATGGGATGCTCATGAACAGGAGCATGGGGGGCTCCCCAGCACACTCAGCCGCAGACATGGAAGTGGAGCAGAAGCACTTCAGTTCACTGGGGAGCATGCTGGGGGGCCACCCCACACCCCTGGCTCGGAGACTGGTACCTCCTGGGTCTGGGAGGGCACCCAGGGTCCCCCTGTAGCCAACCGCTGAGCCAAGGAGGCATGGGAAAGCCCCCCCCCACATGCTCCCTGGTAGACCCGGAAGTGGACCAGAAGTACTTCCGGTCCAATTTCCGGGTTTGCCACTAAGCATATGGGGGGTACCCCCGCACTCCTGTTGCTCCAACTGCCCCAGCATCTTAGCATTCATAAGCTGTGCCTGGTACCTCAAGGTATGTAGAAAAAACATTTAGCTGTGTCCATGGCTGAACCGCCAGTTCTCTGAATCAGCATTGAATCTTCAGATTCGGATTCAGCCAAATCGAATCGGGGACAGTGATCTGAGTCAACTAATCGAATCACTGTCCCCGATTCAGGCTGAATCTGAATTGAATATGGACTGTTTAGCATGCTTCTACTAACTGTAGCATGAAATGTGCCAGAAACATGTGGCATAGGGTAATAAGATGATGTGGGCATGCACTAGCACACAGGCAGTTTTGTGCATTTTTTACTGCAAAACCTTTCATCAGCTGCTACTGGCACTTACATTTTCAATTATGGCATTTAATGGCTATGAATTACCCCAAATATACCCTTCTTCCCCCATATATTTATGTTGCTCCAGATAATCTCACAATTTACTCTACCAGATTTCTGTAGATGGACAATTTATTTTAAACAACAAACAGTCAGCCTTCAGGCACACTTAAGAAACTTCTATTTAAAATTCTAAAGATAAAGCCTATACAGCAGTGGTTTTCAACTTGTGATCCGCAGACCCCTGGAAGTCTGCTAACCATATCTAAGGGGGTCTGTGAAAGATTACCATGAATAATCAAAAGTATGTTAATACCCACATTTACAATTCAAAGGGATCCACAATTCCATTAAAATTTTTCAGGGGTCCATAAAAAGGTTGAAAAAAAAAAATCACTGCTATACAAAACATCCAAAGAACAATAAAAAAAAACACCATATGATATTTCATATCGACCACCATTTACTTGTAGAGAAAGTAAGTTTGTTTTAAGCCCCTTCCAGAATAGCTATGGAATGGTGAGTGGATGTTTCTATAAGACACAAAGTGAGGAGAAGAGAAGTGTGATCTACCACAAACAGGCAGACAAGGTTCTTTGGGTAAATCTGGTATCTTTTATTAGACCAACTCAAATAGTTGTAAAAATTCTTCTTAGCAAGCTTTTGGGTTTAAATACCCTCCATCAGGCTGAGGAAGCAGCTGCATAAGATTTTTTCCAACTTTTTGAGTTGCTCTAATAAAAGATATCAGATTTACCCAAAGAATCTTGTCTGCCTATGTCCTCAGACCAATATGTCTGCCTATGTCCTACACCCCCTGCCACAACTAGATACCTTTACTAGGTGAGGAGTAAAAAAAAAAAATGGTATGCATCTTTACTTAATAAATAGCATTAGCCTGTGTTTCATCTTGTGTTTTCATTCCTTTCTTAAAGCTTTTTGAGGTGACTATTCTGGATAGCCACTAATTAGGAGACATATTAGGAACACAGTAAAATGTGTGCAGCCAAGTGTCCAAGAGAGAGTTAAGCAGTAACAGTTCCTTACAATGTTAAGAATAATAAAAGTATTGCTATATAAAAAAATCTGTGAGGCCACAGAAAATCCATACGATTTATTCATAAAGATAGATTAAACAGGAAAACCCTTCCCCCTCATCTTGGGGGAGGACCAGGATAGCAAATGTTACTTTCTACTCCAGGAGCAGCTGCAAGTAGCTCTGAGAGATAATTCTTGTTGAGAGACCATCCAACAAATTCCATTTACTGCAGCTTTGAGTAGAAACTGAGAATATGACTTGCTCTCCACAGAAAATTTAGAGCCACGTGTGTTTCTGAAAGGTATGCGCAAAATCTTGTTCACAAACCTCTTCTCTTCAGAAGCTTACCTCCAGCTTAGGTGGTGGGGCCTATCATTCTCTTTTAGATGGTGTGCAGTGTTGCCGTAGCTGTCATGCAGAAACAAAATGCTGTGTGACAACCTGAAAGAAAAGTATAATGAATTATTATGAATTCATTTGGTTATTGAATTATTATGTTCAAATGCCAACTACCAAGTCACAGAGTTGTACCTATAGGAACTTAAGGTAGAAGATGAGCTCTCTCATTTGCTTAAGCAGCTAAACCGTTCCTTTAAGGGTCAAAGACAGAAGAAGGAAAATATAAAACCACGTTTTGTCTAACTGGACTCTTTAAACTCACCGCATATACAAACTTATTTTACCTGTCACTTCTATGTTATAATCATCAATACCCACTCATGCAGTAGAATTTTTTTAAATAACTTCAGGTGCTAAAAGTAATAATCTACCGCCCTGATCCTGATCAGTGCTGAGGGCTTTCAAATGGCTTCAAAAGAAAAGAATGCTGCCCAAGGAACAGACTACATTACAAATCAGTGATTTTTCACAGTCCATCTTTTCCAGATGTGTTTCCACAAATCCTTTGAGCATCTGATGGCCACCTATAAGTTTATCAGGGGTGACCACCAGGATCTGGGGGAATGTTTGTTCACCAGAGCACCCCAAGGGATGATGAGGTCGAACGGTCATAAACTACTGCAAGACTGTTTCAGGCTGGACATAAGGAAGAATTTCTTTACTGTCCAAGCCCGCAAGGTCTGGAATAACCTGCCATCAGAGGTGGTTCAAGCACCCACACTGAACACCTTCAAGAGCAAACTGGATGCTTATCTTGCTGGGATCCTATGACCCCGGCTGACTTCCTGCCCTTTGGGCGGGGGGCTGGACTCGATCTTCCGAGGTCCCTTCCAGCCCTAATGTCTATGAAATCTCTAGGACTTCTGACACTACAGAGCTACCCTAGCAATGGGAACACAATATTGGAAATATTAAATCTTCTAAAGCTTCTGTGGACTACTTGGTAAAAGACATACCCTCTTCAAGGCTATGGGTGAGTTCTGCCCATTTTCCATCCTGAAAATGGATTTCAACAGGACCAGGAACTCATAGCAGCTCCCTTCTCAGTATGTCTTCTCCCACAGCTAGGTTTGTAAATATTCCCTTCTGAGGACCACCAGAAAAGGTTTCCATGTAATACTCTCCATCCTTAGACCAATGGTTCACAGACTTCTGAGACTTGAGGCACCCCTCCTTTGACTCCAGCCATACTTTCATAACCTTTGTGAACTGAGCAGCACCCCATTTCACAAACTAATTTATTACAGCACTTGCCTCCCTGCACAGGGGCCAGGCAGCAGCCAAACAGGAAGAAGCCTGAGACTGCATTTATCTCCTCGTACCTGTCTCTTGCTCTGGCACCCTGGTTGAGAATCACTGCCATGGAGCACAGTTCAAAAACTATAAAAATATACCCATCCAATAAGCAGGGAAGTTCTGGTCTTGGACCAGGGCTGGCGCAGCTGCCCCCTGCACAGGCTGCCCTCAGCTTCTGCTGCTGGGGCAAACCCACTGCCACTGGGCCTGTGCTCAGGTCAAGGCACGCCCCAGACCAGAGGCAGCTCTGCTAAGACCCTGCTCAGATTGGGCATCCTGCCAGGGTGCACAGGGCTCCCCACTCCCCAGGATCCAGATCCCCCTGCTCTCCCTTCTCTCCTGGCTCTAAACCCCACACCTTCACAAATTCCTGCCCCCCCGCCACACACCAACCCCCAACCATACAAAGTGCCTGAATAACTTTGCATAATTTTGAGGGGGTTTGTGCAGTATTGTGAGTTTTTAGCAGTGATTAAAACTGTGATTAATCACAACTAATTATTTTAGTATAATCGCTATCTTTTTTTTAATTGTTTGACAGCCCTATTTCAAAGTTGGGGACCCTTATCAAAAAATACCTTATTTTCCATTCTCTTTACAATCGTTAGATCCAAATGCTCTGATTTCATGGTCAGATGTGGGAAGTAGTTCATCAAGGTGATTAAAAATATAGAACCACACTTTTAACCAAAAATCAGGATCTTAAAACATACTTGCTGAACTTTCCCACAGATCAGGTTATTCCTGTACACCTACAGTTGCCTGTTTTTTCCTGCTACAAGTCTAGGGCAAAATATTAACTTAAAATATTATATACATTTTAAATATTATATATTTAAATATTATAATTCAGCGTTAAGAAGTTGTGATATATAACAAACAAGAAACTTGTATGCCAATCACGTTATAATTTCTACTAGATTATGGAATAGACTCTTCCCAGAAGTGGTACAATCAATCACCTACTCTGGCTATCTTAAATTGCCTGGATGCTCAACATCTATGAATCTATGAGGAAAGTTGACTAAAGACTGCAGGGCAGCTGACTGCAGAAAGCAAGCCGACCCATTAAATGGCCATAAACTAAACTTAATAATGACCTAAGCTGTCTCAGTGCTCTCTATATAGTAGTGACTTAAAATGTAATCAGATCCATAAACGGTATCCATTTAATTTCAGGTTTTTTCCACAGCCTTATTAATCAAATGTCTACACATTTTTATAGCTGTGCTCTCTGAGAGAGAAAAGGCTGCCTGCTCTAGTTTCTTTGTTTTAAGATATCTAATTGCACACGTTAGAAACAAGAGAGAAAGGCCTCAATACTGAACAACCTCTTTACACTTAATGCAGGAATTTTAACTATTTTACTCACAGAGCAGCAGCATTTTAAAACTGTAAATTGCTTGCAGCCTGGATCTTCTTTATTTTCTTTTGCATAATTACAAATACAAATTAAGAACAAGCAAATTTAAGGGAGGCAGGGGGGAGATAGGGGAAAGAAGAGGAAGATGTGCATGTGCATGCATCTTCGTTTGCTCTGCATGTTCCTTAGACTGGAAATAGTAGACAAGCATGTCTGGATTCTGACGGAGATATTTCAGATTTCTAGTTTCTGTTTATTAGAACATGAAACTTCCTGTTTAACAGTGGGTAAGCAGAATAAAACAACATCTACTACCATGAAAAGTGACTGGGTCAACTGTAAAACATGGAATAAAGCAGATGTGAGCGAGGTGGTAACGGACTAAACTTTTCTTGAATTAAGAAATATTTTTGGGAACTCTGAGGATACGTCTAAACATATCTGTTAAGAAACAAGTCTGCTGACAGGAACAATGAATAAAAAAAATCTAGTCCAGGGTCTGGGACCTACTATTTTAAGTCTTGAATCAATGCCAAAATGGACACACAAGAGCACTAACCATTTCAATATTAACATTTCCTGAACTATTAGGGCTAGCAGCACCTTCCCCGCTTTCTCAATAGAATATTAAAATTGTATCTTTCTAACTGCTGTATCACATTTTTTCTCTACTGCACTTCAATTCAGATCTGATTTTAGTGACTACTGTCAGCAAGGCCATTAAAACCAGGGCCAAATTTGTACATTCACAGACAAGCTAGATGTGCATGTTAAGAATACACACAGTATTAACTGCCAATTCTGGTGGATCTTGAGAACACTGGAAACTAACATAATTCACAACCTGAGAGAGAGTAGAAAGAAAGCCAAATGACGAGTAGATGAGTCTGATTTTAACGTAGTGTATGGGTGCCAATACATTTATTCATTTTTTTAAATACTGGCTGCTATTAAATGAGGCAAGTTTTCAGTATTTTCACAAATGCTTCAAAAAAATCATATCCCTTTGCAATACAGTTCTCTTTCTTCTAGCACAGTATGAAATGCTATTGGAACCTCATGTGGTTTTTGACATCATAGGCTGTTCCTGTTTCCCCTTTTACAGAGAGATCTAGAATGTCCCAATTATGTTTTGTGGAGAAAATAGGTTTGAGGTTGGTAGAAAAGTCAGCATTTCTTCACTTTAACCAATTTTTGGATAAAATAAATTGACTGTCTTAGGAAAGCTGCTAAAAAAGATATGTAGACACAATATGCTCTTCTTTTGAGGACATGAAACAACAAATAAAAAACACATTCCTTGAACCTAGCCAGTTAAATTCAGGCTTTCTACAGAATGGCCATATCTTTGTTATCCAAAAAGAAGAAGTTAATGATTTTACTTGGATACTAACTCAATTTAGAGAAGAGGAGATAAAGTTTCTTGAGTCCCAAAGAAATGGAGAGTTGTTCTGTGAATCTGATTATCTTTGTTGTTAGCTAAATTGCTTTACTATGTCAAGGTACTTGAAAGAATTCTCAGCACCATGACTCAAGCTTTTATCATATTACTCCATAAAAATTGTGAAGATAAAGTTACTGGATTGCTTTCAAATACAAATGCAAAAACTCTTCACTGAGGCCATCGAGAAGGGACTTGAGCTGCGTATGCCCGGACTGACAAACAACATACAGATCAGACAGGATTTAGTAAAAGGGTTGGAACACCTTTGATCAAGACAGGATTTTTTTTTATATATATTGATTAGATGGGCCTACAGAAGATAGATAGATATCTATCTATCTTCTGTAGGCCCATGTGATCAATGCTGAAGAGCTCTTTGAACTATCTTTTTCCTGAACCATCCTTTACTGATCTGGGTTCATAGAATACTGTTTATATAAACTGTATTACAGCCCTCTTCATTGAGACTATACCAGAAGCTTTACCCTTAATACATATAATAGGCAGATTTGCCCAAAACCTTATTTCTCTTCCAACTAGTCACTGAACCAAGAAGCATTGATGCTATTTAAACTTGGTTTAGTAAGCAAAAAGATCAGACAGAAAAGTTGTTCATGAAAAATTATCTTGGACTGAGTTATCATTAGTTAATTCAGTTTGTTTAAAAAGCTGCAGAATACAAAAATAGGTCTATAACTACAGCTTTTGGACTTCAGAAGGGCAAACATTGAGTAACCAAGGAAACAAGTTAGCCAAGCCTTACTGGACTCGGGAACTCAAGGATCTGAATATGGAAGAGGAATGGAATAACCTTAGGTCAAAAGTAAATACATGATCCAGCATCCTGAGTAAGAGAAAAAAGCTGGTAAAAAGATCTGTAGTCCTACCTGGATAAATACTTAAAATATAAACAGATAACCTACAACAAATGGGAAAAAG